CCGAACATTATGGTGGGACAAGAGGAAAGTGAAAGGAAATAGAGGAAAAAACCGGGAGGCAGAGGACATTTATAGAGGTGTAAATACAGGCATGTACGTAGGTAAATACAGTGAACCCTCGTTTATCGCGGTTAATCAGTTCTAGACCCTACCGTGATAAATGAAATTCCGCGAAGTAGGATTCCTTATTTGTAAATCAAATATTTTCGTAGTTAGAGCATAGAGGACATGAAAAAACACCCTTTAGTCACCATTACACTCGTATTACCCAATTTATTAAACGAAAAAGGGAAAATACAGTAAAACATTTTGGACGTTACAATTATCATTTATTATTTATTATATTATTTATGGCATCAAGCGTGTACAGTATGAGCCAATCAGTGGCAGTAATGACAGAGCATGCGCTGTTACGCAAAAACCGCGATAGAGTGAAGCCGCGGAAGTCGAAGCGCGAAGTGGCGAGGGTTCAAGTGGTATATTTATATATAACGAGAGAGAAATAGAGCTATGTGCTTACATCTATATGTTAAGAATTAAGTTTGCAGATGGACATTGGTCCTCGTCTAAAGTACTCCCTCAATACAAGAATGCTTTGTTGTAATAGTCCAGCATTCTGTGATGCTCACTTTCCTGACATGATCGCTGAAGGCAAAATGGGTGCATAAGCAAATGTGGTGAAGAAAGCTGATGGTGCCTGGCTATCAAAAGACATAGCATCTGAGGTCTTAAAGGCTTGAACATAAATAAGTGGCCATCTACTGAGAAGCAACAAAGCCCACATGGAAGAAGCACACCAGCCTGTGTGATTATGAGGTGTCAATGGGATAAGGAATCAGGCATCCAAGACCCAGAACAAAATCATACCATACCAATGTGAATGGGTGTTTGTGTGTGTGTGTGTGGGGGTGGTGGTGATGATGAGGAGTAAAGACCCAAAGCCCATCTGTAGACAGTTGGACATCCCCTCACGGAAGGGTCACAAGGAAGAGATGAGCCAGTTAGGGTGTAATATAGCACTGATGAAACACACAACATTCCTTTAGTTCCTTATTCCTTCCTCTCCACCACTGTCATGACCTCAATTCAACCTTAAAAATCAGATTAGACCAGAATGTTCACACTGCTACAGATAAGAGCCCGAAACACAGGGAATCCAGGATAGATAAACCCCTCGGGACCAGAAGGATAAGGGGAAGGTGGGTGGAAAAGGGGGGAATTGATCATGGGGATCAACATAGGACGAACAGCAGAAAAGTGGCTGAAAGATGACAGAGGATGATGTAAGATATGAAACTAATAATCTATAAGTTATCAAGGGTTCATGAGGGAGGGAGGGTGGGAGAGGGAGGAGGGAAAAATTGAGGAGCTGATGCCAGGGGCTCAAGTAGAATGAAAATGTTTTGAAAGTGATAATGGCAACATATGTACAAATGTGCTTGACACAATGGATGAATGTGTGGATTGTAAGAGCCCCCAATAAAAGTATTTAATTTAAAAAATCTGGTTGATAGTCTAGTTTGAAACGAGTTGCTCTTAGAATAAAGAACAGGCCTTATATGCTCTGGTCCCTGTCTTAATCTTATAGCTTCATCTCATGCTGCTTTGAAAAATTTGTTGTTTTGTGTGTGTTCCAGTCACATTGGCGTTTTCAATTCTTCAATACACCAAGTTTTTTCCTATATCAGAACTCTAATGTATAATTAGTAGCTTTTAATATGTATTATAAAATGAAATGGAATGTTGTTAAAGTAATGATTGTATCAATACTTTTCAGTAGATATTTATAATCCTAAGAGGGTAATGTTCTGTGCAGTATTCTTTTCCTAAAAAGTAAACTGTCTGAATTATTGCAAATAAGTGTAACCATTTTAAGTTACAGTTTGTTCTTCCTTCAGATTGTAACATACATCTCAATTTTTCTTCAAGGCAGATATAGAAAAAGCACTGATGAGCCATACTTATTCTTATTTTAAAGTAAGAAAACATTTTTGGTTGTAAATTTAAATTTTTTTGAATGCTGGAGTATTTGATATAAAAGCAATATTTAATTTTTTGACCTAGTTGATAATTGGGACTCCACCCACATATTTTTTTTCTTTTTAAAATCATTTTATTGGGGGCTCGTACAACTCATCACAATCCGTACATCCATCCATTGTGTCAAGCACATTTGTACATTTGTTGCCATCATCATTCTCAAAATATTTACTTTCTACTTGAGCCCTTGGTATCAG